AAAAAAAAAAAAAAAAAAGGAATGAAACAACAGCTTTTTGAACAAACACTTCAGGCTTTAAATTGCCTATACATTAAACAAGATTTACTGCCATTTCCTTTTCTGTGACATCTACAGCCAAACCTTTCCAACAGCTGTGAAAATAAAGAGTACAACAGGACTCTTACTGGAAGTAGAACACAGGCTGTTGGCGGCACAAAAGGAGTCTTGCATCAACCCCCTTTTTTTCTTCTGTCCAAAGATAATTTCTCATAATTGGACTCCCATGGAGCAATTAATTTGTAAGTGGCCACCAGCCTTCCGCTTTTACAGCCCTCTCTCTCCGACGACGATAGCAGCACAAGCTGCAAACAAAATGGCTGCACGAGAAGTTGCTCCTCCTTAATGTCCTTCCTTATTCCCCATCATTTTCTTGTGCTTCAGCCGCCCTTTTCCTTTCCCCCAAGGAAGATTCCTCACCTCTGTGCCGTATTGCTGGACTGGACCTCACACACAAGGGCTTTGAGCAACCACCGTGCCCTGATTCCAGAGGGAGCCCCCGTGCCTGGGCAGAGGCCGTGAGGGCCCGGCCAGGCTCCGTGCGGCCCCTGAGCTCTGAAGAGSTCGTCAGGAGTTGCACACTTTGCTTACTGACAATGTGTCAAGAGGAACATTTCCTTCTTTTAACTTTTTTTTTCTTTTCCCTCCTTAAGCCTGCTTGAGTTCTTCCATCTACTTGGAAAAAACAAGCAAGCTATCTTAATTCTCTACCACTTTCAACTGCAGACCACATCGTCTGGAATGGCAGATGTCCAGTCAGAAACCTCAGAAATGCACCTTCTCTGTAGTCAGTAGAAAACCTGGGACTAAAAGAAACATTAGAAATGCAAAATGTCTGTGTATGTGCTCAGAAACACTGGGCATGGACAACCAAAACTGCACTTCAAGGGACAGATGGGGCTCTGCTCACCAYACAGACAGCTGGCCTAATAACACAGCTCGCCTCCAGGAATGCCCTGCCTTGTCCRGACCCATGCCCAGACCTTCAACTTCAGGTTCACTTTAGAAAAACTGCAACTAATTTTCCACTGTTGGCTCTAATGAGACAAATGAAAAGGGGGGTGTGCAAAAATAAGCTTTCCTTATGTGAAACCAGAAAAATTGAAGTGCACTTGACAGCAGTGAAATACACASATGTTGATGAACAAAAATGGCATTCTGAGAAAGCAGCCTGACTTATTATTTGGAAGAAAAACAAAAACATATTTTAAGCTAGAACAAGGTTGCTTGCCAGAATCGTTTTTGATTAGTGCAATTACAAGGCTAAGTTATAAAAAACATAACATGGAAGTAGTTTCCTGTGTCACTTCATGTAAACATGAATGAGTTTCTGAGTAGCTAATATAAATGAAATAATTTAATTTAGTCATCAATATGGTAAGGAAGTTTTTGAAAATAAGTATGCAAACTAGGCAAAAAAAATTATACAGAGCACATTAAAGGTAGCCCTTCCCCAAATAAAATGGGGAATGAAAAATATACCATGCTGTAAGAAATAGCAAAAAAAAAAAAAAAAAAAAAAAAAAAACCACCAAAAACAAACAAAAAGCCCCACACAACCAAACAACAAAAACACCAAAACAAGAAAACAACAACAACAACAAAGATGATTCTGCTTCATCTGGGGGCATCTCAAACTCCACGTTAGCAAACCTGTGACTGTCCAAGAATGCACTGAGCTGAACTTGGCAAAAAGAACTGGCACTCCACTCTCCAGGAAATAAATCTATACGACTTGTACACTGTCTTCCCTCTTTTTGCACAAATTGCTGTGTTTTCTCCTATGGTACCTGAAAATTGTGTGTGTGTGGCGTGCTCCAGGGCACTGCACTGCAAACATGGGTCAGGGGAAGAACCAGAACAACTTTCCAGTCCTGTTCAAGGTCCTGAACTTTTTAACTGTGCAGTTCCATAGCAGGCAACTATGGAGCCTTTTGAATTTGTAGATGTTGAAGGATAAAGAATTAAACCAATAAGGCAAGGCCAGTCTGACTTTATCTGTTGTTTTAATCCATTTATAGAAGATTTATCCTTAATACAATGCTACTCCCTTCTCCTGACTTGTCTTTTCACTGTGTCCTTTTAATGACCCGGGAATTTTTTCAGTTGAACTCTCTCTCTGCTCAGTTCTTCATGTGAGCAGTGAAATACTGAAATGGAAGTGAGGCAAAGGAGAATCACAAATGCTAGCGAGAAAATGAACATATACTTAGGAGCAGCGATTTCATGTGCATTTGGGGGGATGCCACAGGTTCAGGCAAATATTTATTTCACTCAGATGGGTATCTGAATACTCTTCCAATTCTATAGTTTTAACTTTTTTTTCCTTTTTTTTTTAAAGTGAGAAGAGCATAAAAGATGAACTAGAATTTCTAACAGCACAGCATAAATTTTTCACAAAGAGCCTAACTTTAGCATTCACACTGAAGATAAAGCTGCAGTTACTGCTTGTTTTCAAAGGACAAGGAGTAGTAATTTTAAGTATTAAGTATTAAAAGGGTTAGATTTTCACATTTGGGAGTTTATAGTATAGGGATAAAAGTTTTGTTTTCAAAAATAATTAGCACCAACTGCTTCACATGTCTTCGCAAGAGCCACAGATGGTCCCTTCTGATGGAAATGGAACACCCTTCTTTAAGTATCAATGATTAAGTACCATGTTTGGAAATTCCCTTTGAATATCTTCTCTTCTGCTCATCCCCTGTCCCAAAAGTCCTAGACAAACTGAAAGTGAAAATAATTCTATCTATTTTTCATCTACAGTAACCTATACTAACCTGCCTATAGCAGCGGTGTGCCTGCAGCTACTAGACTTGATTCTTTAACTCGTACCTAGAAGAGAAGCCACATGACTTAAAAAAAATAAAATAAAATAAAATAAAGGCTATGAAGTAAAAGGCATCAGATGTACTACTCTCTCCTTCCTACTTATTATGGTCCAAAAACCTGTCCAAAACATAAAGTTTTCTATGGGATTAGTGATAGCTTTTTACCTTTCCATGACTCCCCTCAAGCTTCAATCCAGTTAAATCTTGATCTTGTTGACCCAGAGAAAGATGTRTATGAAAAAAAATTGCATTAAAATCTCACCCCAAAGTACAAAACTCAGCTCCCCACAAAAGGCTTATACGAATCTCATGATATTCAGAAACAAAGCCCTTTCTTTGACTTGGCTTTGTTTCAGCAACTTCTTTATAGATGAGTACATTTTCACTCACAGACCCAGGTCAAATTGGAACAAAARTACAACTTCAGGCTAATCAGACCTTTTCCTGTGGAAGATGAAATTCTTCCACAGGACTGTAATTTCTATTTTGAAGTCTTTAGAGGTGCTCAGATACATCAGTGACACTGAGACAAGGTGCTGACAAATGCACACCACGTTGTGCTGTTCTGGCCAAGTCCTGCCTCGGCCGACATATTTCACCTTTCTGCCTCAAACTGCTGTTCTGCAGCTGCAATAATTTACTCCAAGGCTGGCTACATCTCAGTGGTCGTGGAAGAGTTCATGTAGAGCCCAGAACACAAGACTCAAAGAAAGCCCCTTACTAACTAGACCAAATCCCTTAACCTCGTGGACCAACAGCTCATGCAATCCTTGTCAAGCACCTCCGTTTGGAAAGGAAATGGTTTTCCTGCCTCCGTTACTCCTACTTGGAACTTGCTAGTTCCCAAATAACAAGTGCTTTGAAAACCTACTGGTTAAAAGGAGCAGAACATCCTTAATCAATCTTTTCAGTATTTCAAGTTCATGTCCTTGTGCAACCAAATGCGTGACAACTAAATTCTGACAAAACCAACCAAATCTTATGTCAAACTTTAAGATCTGCTGTAGCAAGTAATTACAATGTACACTCATCATCACCTTGAGAATTACTCGCCACATCTCAAATGGTAACAGCCTAATGTAAAACATATTAATGCAATCTGACTTCTCATGCCAAAGGTTTAACAGATTTACTTGCTAAAACTAGTTAGGAGGACAAAAAGGGCTGACAACTGAGACTTCTATTGATTTCTTTTTTCACAGCTTGTTTATTTTCTGCCTGTACGACAAATGCAACATGACACCTCATCTGTAACACACTGATAATTGTTTAAATATATTTGCAGAAATAACCAAATAACCATTAAAGAGTAAAATAGCAGAATCCAGGCTAAAAACCCTAATTCTCATGCCCTACAAAACTTTTGGTATTATCTTTGATGGAACAAAATCTCCAGAAAWGAAATTAATAAGAACATAACCTTTAAAAATAACAAGAAAACTTCTGAATAGTCTTACTTGTAGTTTTTCTCCCAGAACTTGATGGGCCTTGCGTAGGATGCGATGAAGATGACACTACCAAGAAACGGGCTCAGTGGCGTAGAAAAGGCTGAAGTGGCCAGAGTTTGGAAGAAAAGCATAGCAGAGTCTGAAACTGCAAGTTAAGGTAAAGCCAAGGACTTCATCACAGCGCTCACCATTGTTCAGACAGCTCCTCAAACTACCTATCTTTGCCTTTACATTTTTAATTTTACCAAAGAGGTGTGGGGAGGTAAGGATGGCAGCAGTGTGAAACTGCCAATTCCCAGCACATAATCCGTGGCTCTTCAACTCTGCAGAGGGGCAATGAAGGCCACAYGTCTAAATGAAGCATGATATGACCAGGGTGACACTGTCTAATCTCTGCCGAAGGAGACATCCCAGCCTAGACACAGCAGCGAGTGCCCTCTTCCAGCTAACCTAGTGTCTCCTCTACAACACAAGGGGCTTTTGAGAGACTGACATGAAGAGCTTTTMAAAAAAGACCCAAACTTCCCTGATTTGCTTTGAAATTCTTGTTTCTCTGCAGTGGAAACTCATTTGTGATACCACTTGAGTCCCATATTTCATTCTGTGAATTACTGCTTGTTTTGGGTACATGCAGGAACAGCTGTGTCTCCGTAATCCAGCTGCTGGCTCAACATCGTACTTTCATATTAGTTTTCAATGCCAATTTTCACTGGCAATTTCCACGCTATTTAAAAGATTAGTTTTCTGCATTTCATACTTCTTGAAATGCACACAACATGAGAAGGTAAACACAGGGAAATAATAAACATCATGCATATCATAATAAATACCTGAATCCATTGCTTACTTTAAATGTAAACTCATATTCTATATCACTGGAAAACAAAATATGAAATGGATAAATATACAAAGGAAGAGATGAGTTGAAAGGACCAGGATGAAAAAATTCGAACTAATGAGATGTTAGGGTTGAATTCCTGTTTAATTCATACCAGCTCCATGAAATCTCAGGACAAAAAGTTTCCAAGCTGTTATGCCAGCCTAGTTGTCCTTCCTTGCACCTCTCTTGGGAGGAAGATGCTATATAGGGAAGCCATGAACTACGCAGTGATCATCCAAGCACAGAGAGCAGGTGCATCTCAGACTAAAATTAAGGTTAAAATCAACCTGTAATAACAGTCTGTTAGCTTAGCCTGTTCTAATCAAACCTTATCCTCATACAGTCAATAGACTCCACGGTAAATGTCTTTACATATATGGCATCACTTGYGATACAGTGTTTCCATATAAAGACTAGCTAACTGTGCGTTCAAAGCAACATGCAACATCTACAAACAAGTATTTGCCAAAGATCTCTCTCAAACCCCTCAAACTTATTAAAAGAGAGTGGTTTGGAATGGTGTCTCAATACATTACGGAGTTTGCAAAGTGAGCTGCCCTCAGAGTCTGAAAGCCCAGAAAGCAACAGAGGGCACGGAAGAGGAAGAAAGTGTGTCAACAAAGTTAACCTGTCACATTGCACTGCACTCATGAGCAGCACGGGCTGCGAAAGCTGCCCAAGTACGAACAAGTGTTGGGTAAGTGAAGGAGGCATGGAGCTGAAAAGAGAAAAACAGAACAAGGAGGACAGATAAGGACAGTGCATCAAACTTTCCAGAGAGAGCTTGAATGCCATTAGTGATTTAAAAATTACCACCATCAAGAACTAAGATGTTTAGGACTCCACTGTCAACTGTTAGCAACAAAGACATAAAGCTGTAGCAACAGTTTTATTTTTATTAAAAGACATAATATTGTATCATGTGCAGTTTGCAAGTCATGCCATTTGACTTGCAAAGTCAAATTTTAATTCACTGTGTCATATATGCAAACATAGCATGGGAGCAAATAAAGTATTTGTCTTTTTTTTTTGTACTTCATGATACTTGATTGCCTTTTAATAGGCAATTCTCTTTTTATGGCGAAGCGTTAATGATGTGTAAGTAGTAAAGTGCCATAAATTTACAGGCATGCTTTCATGTTCTGCATCCAAATCTAGTTTTCTTGTGCGCCATTTGTTAGATTATATGGTGTAGAAATAGAATGTTTCTTTGTGAATTATGCTTTTTTTTTGGTAAGGTGGCCAAATTTCTTTTTTAAATAACATGAGCTATTGCATGATATGAAATAATATGAAAATCATATCATTTAAAAATCTGTTTAAATTCACACCAGCTTCAAAACAAAGTAATCAAAATTTCCCCTCCTCACATGGTAAATCCATCTCGAATTCACTGTATGTTTTCCCCAAAACACATTTTTAATTGCAATTACTATGGACCAAAAAGAGTTTCCTTAGTTCAAAGTGCAAGGAGTGGGAGAATTTAGTGGTTTCCCTCCCCAATGTGAGGGCTGAAACTCTTAAATGGCCAGAGCAGTACCTCATAAGCAGCGTACAACCAAACTATGAACCCTTCCTTTTCCAATCTTACTCTCGATTTACTACATAAAATCTACCTTTGACTACAAACTATCTCGACTTTATCTGTGTGCACATAACTTACTGGGCATAAAGACATGACCATGTCTTACCTATTTAAACACAAGGGAGCAAAGCAGCAGGTATTTCCTCAAGTCAGGAGCCCACTTCTATTCCCTCAGACTGCCTCAACTCCCAGACTCGCAGGATTAGGAGGAGCCTTAAGGGGTTACCTAATCCATCCAGCAGCCCCAAGGCAGGAGGACTCTAGACAGATATTTGGCTAAATTCTTCTCAAAGATCRTGGAAGATGGAGACTCTGCAGCCTTAATACCCTGCACAGCTGAGTCAAGTGCATTGAGGCGAGCACAACTCCTTATATCACTAAGCTGTATAGTAAAAACTCACTGAGGCACTTTAAAATTTAAAGAATTATCTCCTGTTTGCAAAAGTGATTTAGGCAATTAAGAGACATAAATAATGAACTCTACAAAGAAACGTCAAGCTTAGTGCCTCTGCAAACTGCAGCATGCATTTATTAGTGCTGTTTGCAGAGTTATGGTAGCAAAAAATAAGAACACTGCAGATACAAAAAGGCAGTTATTGTTGTTGTGGGAACAGTAACTTGGGCATTTAACCAGTATCTTAATTGCAACATGGCCTTAMAGGACAGATTTGCATTCACAAATGATATTATAGATATAAATAATAGAAAGTTAATCTAGATACACTTTGGCAAGAATTGTGTAAATAAACTAACCCTGCTTTGCTAACTGCTCTCCATTTTACAAAGCCTAATTGGTACTTTTATCAAGAGACTAAAGTTACCGCTGTGCAAAACTTTGTGATCAAAGAGAAACTCACTGAAATACAATCTTAGTTTTTAAATATTTTTCCGAGTATTCTTACAGAGACTCTTCTGCAATTCCTATCTACAACAAAGACGAATATCATTTTTTCATTGTAGAATTCCTTTATAATTTGCTATAAGTCACTTAAGGTATATAGAGAACCTTGTTTTTTAACACAAGTTGTCAGTTTGAAGCGTTCGCTTTGGTGTTTATTTTGTCTGTGCTTCCCTCTGTCCTACATGCCCATTTACACTTCCTGTATTAAAACCTGCATTATTCTGGAACTGAAAAAAAAAAAATGATACCCAACTTCAGATAACTTCACCTTACTGGTGAAGGATCATTTCCTTAAAGAAAAACTGGAGCATCTAGATAAGGACCTGAATCCCTCCATAAGACTCTCTCTCTCTCTCTCAATTATTTGCAGATTAGACAGTTATTTCAGTCAGCCAAGGAAGGTACCCCAAAATGAGYATTTTTAATTCCCCATTCCCAACCAATAGCCCTGAGGCGGGGGTTGGAGGAAGGCTCAGGGGAAACACGCAAGGGTGCTGTGCACGTGAAGCCTAGAGGATAAGTCAGTGCAAACCACGTTTCCCAGGTCATGGTTCAAGAAGTTGCATGTGTTAAAATAAAAAATTACCTAGAAATTTCACACCTTGTCCAAGACACTGCAAAGAAATTTTCGTATATACACAAAGAGGAATTTGAGAGTAAAGAAAAATAAATTTATAAAGGATATGAGGTATTGCAAAGAGCTGAGCAAAAACGTGGAACGACGACCCCCAGGCAATCTGCCAGGGAGCAATATACGTCATGATGAACTGTAACTTTTGCAACAGGTCCCACAGCTGAAAAAAAAATACAAAGACTCAGTCACTTTTTAGGTATTGAGATAGTTTCAAATAGCAACATCTGAAAATGACACATTTTTTTTTTTTTTTAGAATTGGAGTGAACGTGCTAGGCTGAATATTGTATCATTAATTTTCATTATCATTAAAGTCCTCCATCAATAGTGAACAAAAGTATATTTTCACTTGAAATTCACACTTATAATGAGGTACTRCCAAACTGAATCTTACTTCTGAGATTGCCTTTCTTCAAAAATGTGTTTAATTAGGAGCKAACATAGCAGTTACCTAACAACTTGTAAGACTGTGTGGTAATTTCTGTGTTCTTCTATAAGCATTCTCATAGAGGAAAAAAAAAGAAAGAAAACCCTAAATTTGAGGGAAAATCCTGCTATTGATAATAGAAATTACTTCATTGAATTGGAACCTTCATGATTTCAATTCCTCTACAAAATCCTTCTTTGTTTTAAGAGTTACTTTCAGTAACTCAGGGAACCAGAGGCGATTTCTTTAAAAGAATTCCAGTACAGTAGTACCAAAACAATGTGTTCTGTAACTTTCTGTTAGCAGAAAAGGTTAGGAAAACCACATTAGAAATAACACTAAATCTGTAAAATGCAGTCAGTCGAGCAATAACACGCCCTTTTTTTTTAATGGGAACAAGTACTGTAGGTACATTTCAAGATCAAACCATCCTACCATAAAAAGTTTGCATTAAAATCAATTCTTCATTTTGCACAAAACAAATTAAAAAAACATACTGAATTTTCTTTTAGCCTCCTGTAAAATACACACTGTAATGCAAATACCACTTTCTGATTCAAAAAGGGTATGTGCATATTCCATGGATATATATTTTGCACTGTTAGTTCTCTTGGCATCATCCCTAAATAGATCTTCTGTCTTGCCTGCTTTGGGTCATCAGATCCGTTTTGCAATTGGCTCCTGATAAAATATTGTTAGGAAATGGTTGGCCTTCAATAGAAAATATCACTAAATATACACACACGACTTGAAAATGGAGCAATATATGCAACACTTCAAGCTCTTGTAGCCGATACATGTTGAGTTTCTTATATTTTTCAACTGCTTAAATGAATAACATGACATCGCCAGCATCTTGAAAGACCTTGAGGCTATATAACTATAATAGATGCATAATTACTATACTACTAAATAAAATACTCTCAGGGAACATTCCCAGGCATTAATACTATATACATGAAGTTGCCAGAATGGTCCCCAGTAATGTTTTAGTTGAGCCCCAACCAATACCTCCACTCTGCTGAGAGGCTAGAAGAGTCTACAAGCACGGACAAGGCTTCTCCATGGCAGCTGGCCTCTACRGAGCATGGGTCTAGGCACACTATATTTATTAGCATGTACAGCGTCRGAGAGGATGCATCTTCACTGTGTAATGCATTTTCTTTTATCTCCCCTTATTTGCAAGCCCCCAAGTATCACTTGATCACCTGTACCCACATCAGCAATGTGCTGAAGGGACTTTTCACTGAGCTTGTCTATGAATTCCATGGTAAATAATTACAAATGAACTGGGAGGGAGGCACAGAATGACTAAGAGCATTAAAATATCTTGTTCTTTGTGTTACCAGAGGMTCAGAGCAGCAGTTGCTGCATCGTGATAGCTCCACAATTAATTGATACACCTTCCGCTTGACACAAAGGCAGCACTCCATGATTTATGAGCTTCGGGGTTTCAGCATGACTCAAACTAGGAGCAACATTCACAACGTAGCTTAYGTTAATTCCGCACGGGCACAAACACAAAACGAGGCAAAGCCTGACAAAAATGAGCTCCACCATCTCCCCAAGGCACAGCCTGGGCACCGCTCCCTAGTTTAACTAGGAGAACTGCTGATACAGTCTACCTCACTTTCTGTGAAAAATACTACATGTGACTTGAAAATTATAGCATTAGATAAAACATACAAGTAAAACTGGACTGAAACTAAAATTGACTTTCATTTATTTAAACACTGCTTAACAGGTTGGATGGTTACTTCATTTTCATCTTTATTCATCTGAAATGTATGAATGAACAGCTGGGAAAAAAATGTACCTGCTAAAGATTTAAGGAAAGTGCTGAAAAAGGTAATGACTCACATTTGAAATCTCAAAAAGTCAACACTGCAACACAACCTACTAAAAGCTCTGACTGAAATCATAAAGACGTAAATCAGCCCAGCTGTGCTCAAARTAAAGGGTTCATCAAAAGGTTTTGAAACCTCAAATACGATTCAGGTTTGGTATTTGCTAGGAAAACAAATGAAGGAGGAGAACCTTCTGGCTTTTTCTTCCACTACATCATTTTCATGATTCTCTAATATTTACAATTCTTGCAAAATAGACCAAGGAGCCTAAGTTCTCTGCTGCCTATAGCCAGTCCTACTACTTCTGTATTCAGTCACTATGTGAATTTTCTGTTGTTTGTTTTACCACGTGCCTTTCAGCTAACACTCCCACAAGACAGGCAGCAGACCTCATTTTTGTTAGCAAGAACATGGATGTAGGACAAAGAATTTAGTAAATCTCTTGTTTTTCGAGAGCCTTACAACACCGCACCCAACCTAGATTTACAAAAGGAAAGTCATGCTTGACCAACCTGAGAGCTTCTACGATGAAATAATCAGCTCGGTGGAGGAATGGAAATCAGGGTATATTGTTTATCTTGACTTTTGACACATAAGATTTTCAACATGGTTTCCCAGAACATCCTCACAGATCAACTGATGAGGTACAGATTCAGAAAATGGACAGTGAGGTGGAACGAAACCTGCGTGAACAGCCAAGCTCAGCTTGTGAGCTGCAGCACAAAGTCCAGCAGGAGGTCACACATTGGTCTCAACAGCCTAAAGATGTAGGCTGACAAGAATTTCATGAAGTTCAGAAAAACAACTGGAAACAGCTTGGGCATCAGGTCAAGGGAGGTGATCGTTCCTTCTATTCAGCCTTGGAAAGGCTGCACCCGAAATGCTGGGCCAGTACCTGGCTTCCCACTACAAGCACATGGATCTCCAAACATGGAGATCCTTAGAGTGGGTCTGTGGAAGGGCCACAAAGATGTTTAGGGGACTGGAACATCTGACTGACAAGAAGAGGTGGAAAGTGATGGGACTGTTGAGCCTAGAGAAGACTCAGGCCAGAATCTTATGAATCTGTGTACCTGCCTGACAGCAGGAGTAAGGAAGACAGTGCCAGAGTGTTCACAGTGGCTCCTCCTGACAGGACAAGAGGCAATGGAGACAAACCAAAACATGAAGGAGAAGATCTTGTCCTTGGAGATATTGCAAACCCAACAGGACATGGCCCTCAGCAACCTGCCCTGGCTGAGCCTACTTTGAACAGAGGGGTCTGGCAAGATGATCTCCTGAGGTTCCTTCCAATCTTCATTATTCTGTGAAATATGTATTTTATTCTTGGTAAAGTGTTGTTTTTAAATAGTGCTAGATACAATGGGAGAAAATTCCCATATAAAGTGAAAACTTTATAAAAAATAYGTGCTGAGTTCTTCTCTGGTCTTTATGATCTTCCTTAAACATGCATAAATGATTAATTTTCCTTGAGACTTCTATATCCTGGTGTAAGATGATTTTTCAAAGCATGTTTTTATTATGCTTTCTTTGACATTCAGTGTTTTCTACAATTCTCTAAGCAGAAAAATGATATATTACTTAGGGGACAAAGTTCTAAAGTTCCTAGTTCTCTACTCGTGACAGTTTTGCACAGTAAACAGATTTTAAGCCTTTGATACAGAATTTTTCAGTATATTCAGTAAATTTAAACTACCACATTTCCCATCAAGTTAAAATGCAGAGCATGCATCCTTCATTCATATTTTCTGTAGACACACAGTTCAGCATCTTAATCATACTTATATCTTCTCTAAGTTTTTGAAAGACTCTGTGCTCTGAAAGACTGACACATACACCAGTATCCTATAGATCTATCATCATACAACCTCATGTAAGACAGCAAAGATTTAATTTTTCTAGATTTTAAACAAAAAATAGTTGCCAAATGCATATGGCTACTTGGGTAAGGTGCGACATAAGATTGAGAAATTAAATATTTTAAATGTAGAAATAGTCTTTTCCCTACTTCATGAAGTATTTCTTTATATTTTAGATACTGAGAACTCAAGACAGAACTGAGCTCAGTCTCTTAGATGCTGGTATTTAATTTATCATGTTAACTTAGTTCCAGCCAATTGGTACCTGAGTTTTAGGAGCATATTCTAATCCATGCCAGTAAATTCATTTATTTTTCTGTATGCAAGTTCATAGGCATAATTATGTCAACAAAAATTTAAGAGTGAAAACSTGCATGTCTGTGTTTATGGATATGAAATTAAAATTGTATTCCTGGAACACAGTGCCCAGCACTTACACTGAAACTGTGCAAAACAGGCATGTTATAAACAGCTTGAGTAACAAGGCTTCTGAAGCCTTACATTTAAGCCAAATATTAACCAACAGGCAAAGATAAGTATGATGAGGATCATGACAATAAAAAGATGATAAAATGATCAGCCCTGGATCTGCTCCAGTGGCAGAGGCTGCGTCTGCCAACACTGCAGGCAACCGTCCAGGGAAGGAGCCTGTGGTACCAGACAAATCCGTCTCCCATGTTTCCTGAGGTGGACAAGGAAGGGATCAGAGCTTATCGGTGCAATCTGCAATAGGCCAGACAGCTGAAATACCTTGGATGAGGGCTGCCCTGCTCCAGCCTCTGCAGTGAAGCATTCGTAGGCATGGCCCATGCCTACAGAGAATCCTCCTAGAAATCACCTCTACTGAAAGTGAACATAAAGAAATGCACAGAGAAAGTTGSCCTTTGAAGCATCACATGGTGGAGATTTTTTCAGAGTCAGCACTGTCAGACACAGAACCAGCTTTGAAYAGTATGAGTGTGCCTGAATACAGTTCTCTATGTGCAACAAGTTAGACTGACCAAGGGAAATGATGTACATTTTCCTGC